CCCCCCCCCCCCCCCCCCCCGTTCTGCTCGCTGCTTGGAGCTCAGCTTCATTTTGCTGCACCGCCCCGGCAAAATGCGGCTAATTTGACCATTAAAGTGCATTTATTAAGTAAAATTTCAACTGAGACACACCTTTGCTATAATTTTGAGCAAACAAACAATTGTTTTAGGTGCTTTTCTTGTTAAATTTTAAAGAAACGAGCAGCGTTCCTCCTTCTTTTTCCTCTCTGCACGCTCCCGGAGCAACGAGGCAGTGAATACTTTAGAAATGCAGCTGATTTGACCGTTAAAAGTTATTTTATTAAGCAAACGTTAGACTGAGACACACCTTTACTATAAAGTCAAGCAAACAATTGTTTTTAAGTGTTAATGTTGTTAAATTCTTGTTAAAGTCCTCCCGTGCATGCTCCCGCGGCCATCGTTTTTTGGCACAACACCAGCCCACATTTCCAGGTTGTCAGTGGTGACGTGTAACAAATGCGACATGTCAGCGGTGACGCATAATAGATGCAACGTACACAGCTAAGCGACATATTTATGGATTTTTCCACTTTTTTAGACATATTTGGACTGATGCGACTTATAGGACGGTGTGGCATGTGACACGGCGGAAAATACAGTATTCGTGTCAATGAAAGTGTCAGAGTCATCAAAATGAGAAGTCCTGACACCATTGTTTATGAACAAGACAGTCAGATGGCTGTCATGTTTTCATCATGACAGTTTACGCTGTGAGTGCTTTCCATTGCAGAAAAGTCAGATCTTGGTGACACTACCTGAAAATGCTCACGACAGCACTATGCTCTATTTGCACAGCTGTTTGAAATCCCCAGTTAAATTACACATTACTGCATTTAGTGAGGCATATGAGTACAACACACTGTTTGTTTCATATTTTTATGGCATATGCTCTTTACAATTCTAATTTGTTCACAGCCTTGTTCAAAATTATGAAAACTTATTTACAAGAAAGTTACGAAACATCCTTTGGGCAGAGCTGAGCACGACTGTAAGTACATGTTGGAACTGAATGGCAACATACACAGGACTGTGAATCGTTCTTGCACATCCAGACATTCCTCTCTGTCTGGTTGCATATTTTCATCAACATCACAGCGAATATCATCCCCGGCAATGTAAGGAAAGTATCTCCTCGAGTGGCAAATCCACCCTCTGCAGGACTCTGCAGGGATGTCATCACATGCTGCATCCAGGGCTACAAGCAGGGCCATTTCGTGTATGTGGATGTTGGTCATATACTGTACCTTCCACCTCCAGGTAGAGAAAAACTCCTCTGTTGGATTAAGGAGTGGGGAGGATGGGGGGGAGATGTTTCATACTGATGTAACCAATATTACTGTAGTATATAACAGTACTTCCCACTTGTAACATGCTGCAGTAGAGTACCATACCGTAAATATGTCAAACTTTTACTGTAACTCTACAATACAGTAAATCTGCTGCAGTAAAACTGTAAGTCTAAATGTAAAAAGTGACAAGTTCACTGTAACCTTCAGTGCAGGTTGTTTAGTGCTGAATTACTGTCCTTTATACACATGTAAAAAATGTGTGAATAATTGAATATACAGTGGTTCGCCCAACATTTGGCTCCGCCCTTCGACCATTCTCAGCCATCGTGAGGTTCTGATTGACAACATGGTCCACAGCTGTAGATCTAATTTCATCAGGAATCTGTATACATGCTTGGGTTCTTCTTCCTCTTCACCTGTTTTGTCCCCTTCCTCCCCACGTCCTCAACCCTCGTCCACGAGGCTGACCTTCCATTTCTGTGTCACAGTATTGTCTAAATGGTACACACTCCGTCTTGCTTGGTTCGTATCTGCTTGAGGGTTCAAGGGATTCAGCTCTGAGTAACTGTAGAGCTTATTGTTGGTTACAACTAACGCCTCACACACTTCTTCATCAGTAGAAAGATGAGGTTCATCTGAGAGAAACTGATCTATTTGGGAGACATTTTCTAAAAAGAATGATTAAAAAAATGCACAAAATTTGGTAGACAGATTTTGACAACTAGTTCAACATTAATGACTCAAGCAATGAAATGAGGACTAGTTTGATAGAGAATGACTCCAGCATTCACAAGTGCAATTCATTTTGAATGACATGACATAAACAAATGATAATGTTATATATAAAAAAAAGCAGATAATTGTATGGAAGCAATTGGTGCATGACCAAAAGCCTATGCATATGTTGGGAGGAATTAGAAACTGCCACATTGATGTACACAAATGACTAAATGTTGTGGAGAATGAGAATATTAATTCTGATCAGAGAAATGTACCAAAACAATTGAGAAAAACTGTTATTTTTATTTCTATATGGGAACAAATGTTCAACCAAGATTGTTCCAAAAGATTAAACAACTATCCATAACATATCAGTCATACATTATTTTATTCTTTCAGTAACTAGAGAGGCTGCCTGTTAAATGGTTTTCACTGATCTTGGATGGATGGATGGATGGATGGATGGATAGATGGATAGATGGATGGATAGATAGATAGATAGATAGATAGATAGATAGATAGATAGATAGATAGATAGATAGATAGATAGATAGATAGATAGATAGATAGATAGATAGATAGATAGATAGATAGATAAAAAGTTTCTACTTGTTTAAAAGTTGGTATTTGCCGCCCTCTACTGTTAACTCAATGTATTGCACATTGTAAACTATGTTTATTTTATGCTGATTTTTGTGAACAAAACTCGATTTCTGCTCAGAATATATACGCAAGCAGAACTTTGAATGATTTCATGCTAAAAGTTGTTTTTGTAGTGACAAACCCTTTACCTGTTGTTTCTCTCAGAACATCTGTCCACTTGGATTTCTTTAATGGATTTTAAACATTTGATAAAGTTATTAGAAAAAGTCTAAACAAATATGGTACTGTTTTTAGTATTTTACCTTTCTTTATACGGCACCTTGATTTTACTGTTTTTATAACACTGCTTTTTATTTTAATTGATTTTTATTGTCATCTATTTTTGTCTGTACTCTATATGTATATACTGTATATATATTTGAAATGTGTTCAACATCAGTTAAGATCCAACTGTTTAAGGCCTACTGCACTCCTATGTATGTCACCTGTGCAGACGTTATAAAAGGAGCAGTATGTATAGATTTAATTTGGCATATAATGATGGCAGCAGCACGGTGGCACAACTGGTAGAGCTGCTGCCTCTCAGCGAGCAGGTCCCTGGTTCAAACCCTGGTCCAGGGGCCTTTCTGGGTGGAGTTTGTATGTTCTCTCCGTGCATGCGTGGGTTTTCTCCGGGTGCTCCGGTTTCCTCCCACAGACCAAAAACATGCATGTTAGGCTGATTGGTAACTCTAAATTGTCCCTAGGTGTGAATGAGAGAGTGAATGGTTGTTTGTCTCGTTTGTCTCTATGTGTCCCTGTGATGGACTTGCGACCCGTCCAGGGTGTACCCCGCCCCTCGCACAGTGATTGCTGGACATGGGCACCAGCGACCCCCGTGACCCAAAATGGAATAAGCGGGTAAAGATAATGGATGGATAATGATGGCATGCAGATGCTGCTGAGGGTACCTCGATGGAGCAGTGCAAGCAAAATGTTTGCAGACACCTGCCCTGTGGTGCTGCGTAACCTCATGTATGGATGCATGTGTAGGTTGTCTGGATCTGAAAACTGTATCATCGCTACACTGACTAACCCCGGACTAATCTCTGTGCAATACTTTTCTACTTTATGGACTCTGTGGCGTTTGAACCTTTTTAACTCTGTGTTCTTCTTTTTTATTGTTTTTATATGGATCATATATTGTGTCTGAAATAAAGTAAAAAATAAATAATAATATATGTTGACTGTCTAAAACTCTCTTGTAAATGAGTCCCCGAGGCTCAATGGGATTAACCTGTATAAATAAAGGTTGAATGAAAAAAAAGAGACGCTCATAGATATTGATAGGTTTTTGTCGCCCCCTTGTGTACAATATGAGCCATGCACATGTTGCCGTTTTCCTTCTTTTGTACGTGCGCGTGCCTGGGATCTGTACGTCAATTGTTACGCTGAGGACGCGCACGCTACACTTCAGTCTCTATGCAAGATTTGTTTGTCAACGGATGAGTCTCCAATGGGACCAGGATCACTCTTGTGACTGCATCGTGTCAGCAAGCCGGACTGAAGTGACTCCATGATTGTCGACTGGCGTGACTTTGGCTTGTTAGAGCGGAAGTAACGTCCAGGTTGTTCCGGTTTGATCTGTAGCAGGTTTGCTGTTCGCGTGATGCTTCTTCGCACCGGCTTCATTAGCTTAGCATGCTAACTAGCGAGCCACGGAAATGCGGTGTGAGCTTGAATGGAGGTCTTTAATTAATTTATTTTTTGATTTGTGTCATTGATTAATATTAGTTTGAGTAATCCCAGTGATGAGGCTGTCCTAGCTTCCCTAAGTTGAAGTGACAGAGGAGGTGGCGGCGTTATGTCCAGTGTTAACGTTACACCCAAAACGTCCACATTAGCTCCAGACGTACGTAGTTTAGTGTCCAGCGGTGACTCTGTCAGCAGCAGAGCGGCTTTCGTCAAGCGATGTGTTCTCCTGTCACCAGATGAGTCTCTTGAATGATTCGATGGAGGCAGGAATGTCGTCGGTCCAGCCAGGGCTGGACGGGCACCTGCCGCTTTTACACGCCCGCCACCACGGCTCCCAGGACGGGCTAATGTTGGACTTGGACTCCCCGGAAGCCTACCTGGACAGCAGCCCGCTGGGCTACAGGGACAACGATGGGAGCAACGGCAGCCCGGTGTTCGAAAGGAGGAAGAGGTCCCGGTCCAACAGCTCCAGGCACAGATTCAACGAGGTGGTCACGGAGCTAGTTCCGGAGGAGGTTCGGTGGTTTTACAAAGAGGACAAGAAAACATGGAAGCCGTTTCTGGGACACGACTCGCTCAATATTGAGCAGATGTTTCGGAAATACTGCGAGCTGAACCCCGGCGCGGTGCGCGCCCGGGTCAGCAGCGGCGACGAGGACAGCCCGGGACTGAACGGCTCTGGCCCGGCAGAGACCGGAACCAGCGGCCCGACCGAAGGCCGAGGCTCCATGGACACATCCAGCCCGTCTGTGGACGAGAGGGACCCGGACTGCTTGGAGATCAACGTGGAGCCGGTCTGTGTGCGGGGAGGGCTCTATGAGGTAGACATAAAGGAGAGGAAATGCTATCCTGTCTACTGGAAGCGTGAGTAACCACACACACACACACACACACCTTACACACACACACACACACCTTACACA